CTATCTATCTATCTATCTATCTATCTATCTATCTATCTATCTATCTACCTATCTATCTATCTATCTATCTACCTACCTATCTCTCTTATTGTACTCCACCAGGACATCACACAAGAGATAAACACCAGGTAACACAAAGTGCCACCATGCGGATGTGGATCACTCGTAGAGAGGTCCCACAAACCCCTTTCAGTCGTTTAGCCATATTTATGGAGCGGCTATATTCAGGGCCCCCGGCAAAAGCGTGGGGCTTCAAAAAACGAAAAATTTCATCCCATATGGAGACGACCTATTACCTTCCTTGGATAGGTAATTTTTATAAATTATATTTCGCTGTTATTATCAAAATGTGTTATCTCTATGTGTCTGAGACAATGCATTTGTCTGTCTCCCAAATTGCTACATACTGGTGTTCGTATTTTTGGGAATAGGTGTGTGTTTCTGCACGCGCGCTTGTTTGAAGCCCGTCTGGTTTTTTAGATAGCCGTTATGACGGCTATTAATTGGTGCAGTTAATGCCTGAGTGCAATAACTGATCTCATTAAATCATTTATTGTTGAATTCTTCAAAGAAAAGCGATTGTTTTTAAATCTTATATTGTTAAGCAGAGAGAAAACGCATTCATCTGCCGCTGAGAGGTGAGACTGGGCATACATTTGGATACTAATAAAAAGCTATTTTCATCTCCATATTTTCTTCTGAATTTTAAAACCAAAATGTGTCTGTTTTTTTTTTTTTTTTTTTAAGGTTGTTGAACTTGCACTATTTATTTATTTATTTATTTATTTATTTATAATGTTCTATAAAAAGCCTGGGCAGTTTGCTGACCAGTGGCTGCTGACCAGTGGCTGCTGACCAGTGGCTAACTGTCGTCGGTCTTTCTTTAGCAATCCTTTTTTTTTTTCCATTTAACGCATAATACCAGCATTTAAATTAATGATGTAAACTTTCTAAAAATACTAAAACATTGTACGTGGTGCCGAAAGAGTGCTTTAATAATATCCTACCCCCAGATGACGTCACAGGACAGTCCAACATTTTAGAGGGTAGCTTAATGATGCTTTTATCGACCCCAAAACATCTAGAACTGGCCCTAACCTCAACCCACCCACATCCCCCGAAAGAGTGCAGCCTAGGTCCTATGACTACATGCAGCCTAGGTACAACGACTGCATGCAGCCTATTTACCACCCTCTGAAACATTAGAGTGTTCGGTGACCTGTGGATTTTACCTGTTTGGAACACCGCCGAAAGTACAGGTTTGCTCGGCAGGGGTCTAATGTTACCAAACTTGTACGAAAGTAACAACTTCGGCAGCCCTGCGTCAAATACTTAGTAAGGTTATTGAATGAAAAGAAGAAGATGCAGAAAAGAAGAAGAGAGCAGAGGATGAGAGGCAGGAAGAGGCTCTAGACATTTGCCTAATCTGGTAATTTGTTTCCGGTAGCAGACATTGATAAGCTCAATTGCATTCACTAATTACAGCGCTGTGTGCCGAGCACGTCTTGATGTTCACATCAAACACTGAAGAAGATAAATTTAAACACCTGTGCTTCATATTTTGAAGAAGATATGTTTAAACACCTGTACTTCATATTTTGAAAAAGATATGTTTAAACACCTGTGCTTCATTAAAATCTCGTCTTTTTGCCAGAAGGGAAGTCTGCTGCTTATACAGACATGTTGCTCTTTATCCGTTTTTTTGTGGACAGTGTTTCTCTTTTGTGTTTGTTTGATCACTTGAGCTCGTTCTCCTGTAGGTTCTAAGGTCTTATGTTTGAATCCTCAACCAGACGGATTTTTATAACTTAAAAGTAGACTGACTGACTGACTTTCTACCCCACCAGGACATCACACAAGCGATAAACACCCGATGACACAAAGTGCCACCAGAGGATCACCGTGGAGAGGTTCCAGAAACCGCGTTCAGCCAATTGGCCATATTTATGGCCTGGCCATTTTGCGGCCTCTAGCAAGAGCCAGAGTAGGGCTTCAAATAATGAAATATTTCAACCTAAAAAAGACGGTTAATAATACTGAAAAAATAAAAAATAACATAACAGTTGTACCAGGGTGTCATGAGAAGTAGATGCAGCTGTCATGGTGTTCTTTATAAAATGTAAATACAGGACGTAAAAAAACGCATTTTTCTTTTTTATTTCTCCATAGACTAAGCTGGTCGCTCGGTCGTCCAGTTACGCACACTGCTCTAATTATGCTACCGCGACGATTTCTTATCTCACAGTACCATCTGCAAATCACCAAGTCGTCTTGTCCCTATCCGAAAAGAAAACACCATCCGGTAATTCCGTGCAGCGGGGAAACCAGCCCTGAGCTTCATGAACTCAGGTGGGCCCACTCTCTGAAAACGTCTAGGAGGTCGTGGGCCGAAACGTTTGTCGACGAGGGATAACTTCTACTAATGACTGGTAGATTCCTGCTGTACTTGCTCACCTGTGGAGTTCATTCCTGTTCCTAGCATTCTCCTCACTCAGATGGCCAATCTATTGCATTTTTTTTTTTTTTTTATGAACTGTATGACTGATTCCAATCCCAGTCTTTTAAAGTTATCATTATGTACACACAATTTAAAATCGGCGAATCAGATGTGGATTGGTACCTGAGACAACAGATCATGCCCCCCAAGACTGTCCCAAATACAGCTTAATAAGGGAAAACTTTTGGCCAAGAGAAACATCGGTGCAAGTCAAACTTTCGCTGAGTGAATTACAAAAGACAGTGAAGATCATTCTAGAGACAACATTGCAGATATAGATAATCTATTTCAAGCTCTGCACAACTTGATGAAAAGGCGGACGTGGTTAGTGCCTTGTGGGAGAGCGTGTACAGTTCGGATGAGCAGATGGATCACCACAGTGTGGTGAAATTGATGCAGCGGGGAGTGACGAGAGCTTCTGGCAGATGCTCGAGGCTCAGAGGAAAGGCAAGACGGACATGTAATCAGAATGCTACTGGCACCATTAGTATCGGAACTTTTCGCTGGGTGCTGAAGATGGGGATGGAGCGCCTATGGGAATGCCCCGAGTGCTGTGATGTTGGTTCTTGAATTAAATAAAATTAAATAAAATAAAATCAAGCGAACGAACGAAGAAAGAAGAAGAAGAAGAATTTTATTATGTTTGATTACATTTTTTCTTGCTACTCCGGTAGCTCTTCTAAGACATCTCTGTTGTTCGGATTTGGGGATTTTGCGCCCATTTGAGGTAAAAAGGATCCACGTGTTACAATTAAAATATGTATAAAGTATGCAGTCTAAGAGAAGTGACAAGGACAGGGAAGTTGTCTTCGTGTAAGCTGTGAAGGTAACGAGTTCTGCAAACGACCTACAAATGATAATGCTCGTGTTGCCTTTATGAGTGTTTGGTGGCCTAAGTATCTACACATCATTATGGTAGTTTTAGGCTAAAATACGGAAGTCCATTGCACATACAGGTCTAACGCTGTTACTCGTCTGATGGCGTAGAAAAGGGCCAATCTCTTATTTACCATAAACAACTGGGCGAGGTTGCTGAGAGGGCCTCGAGCTGGCTCTGGACACAACAGAACGTCGTGGGGGACGGGCCTCGGTGAGCTGGTGCGGATGTCTAGTGGAAATGAATGCCTTATCCCTTAAAGTCCATCGTGTCCGAATTGTCTGCCAGTGTCCCTCTGCCACCTGCCAACAAAGTCCAACATGTGTCCGGTAAACCAACGTAAACTTGCCACCTGGTCGTCCATGTATGCAGACTGCTTTAATTATGCTACCGCGGCGACTTCTTATCTCACAGTACCTTTTGCAAATCACCAATTCGTCTTGTCCCTGTCCGAATAACATCCGGTAATACGTGCAGCAGGAGAAGCCAACCCTGAGCCTCATGAACTCAGGTGGGCCCACTCTCTGAAAATGTCTAGGAGCTCGTAGGCCGAAACATTTGTCGACTAGAGATTACTTCTACTGATGATTGGTAGACTCCTGCTGTACATGATCCCATGTGGAGTTTCTTCTTACTAAATTACTAAATAGCAGTGGTTCTCAAACTTCGTAATGCCTGGACCCTTTAATACACCTTCCTCATATTGTGGCGACCCGAGAACAATTATTTTCCTTCATAACTTCAATGAATATGTGGTTTTTCGATGGTCCTAGCGACCCAAGTGAAAGGGTCGTTCAACTCAAAAGGGAGTCGCGACCAGCAAGTTGAGAACCGCTGCCCTTTAGTATTGATAACTGTTTCCAAGACAATGGATTTTCGTGGGAGAAAGTAAAGGTTGTTTGTACAGCTGGCGCTCCGGTTCAACGATAAAACGGTAACATCATTCTGCCCTTTAATGCCGTCAGAGTTTTCATAGAAATAAACAACAACAATGAAGTACGGAAACAACGAACTTAATTAATCCAAAAACGTTTTATCTTTTCCACGTCCTAAAGACCTGTTGGACAAAAAGGAGTCGGAAAGTAATAAACTTACAGAGGAAGTTAAGTCACATTTAGATTTTCTGGTAGAGCAATCCAGTCTCTATTTCTTTTTAAGACTTCTAAATGTGTGTGTGTATGGGGGTGGGGGTGGGGGTGGAAAGGGGGGGGGGGGTTAGGTGGCTTGGGATTTTTGCCTTGTATTCAAAAAGGTGCCACCTGAAAATGGTTGAAAGCCACTGCCCTGTGGCAGGATCTGTTGTATCACAGTTTGACACCATCGTCTGAATAGGTGAACAGATGCCATCCAGTACATGAAATTATCTGTGGTATAAAATAAAATAAACAAGAATGGCAGAACGGAGCTTTGAGACTGACGCACAATACGCTTTATAACTTATTTCTCCCTTGGGTTGTTCTGCGATAGTCCCCCTAGAGACCGCCCATATACACAATAGCTCACTTCTGATTAGTAGTTCCTGAGCCGCGTGACCCTTCGCACACTGCTACGGGGGTGTCCCGCAATGCCGTTGATATCGCGTGTTGTATATTTAAGCACGCCAGCGCTTTTACACTACAAGACAAGCCTCTCAGTTATCCATACAAACCTGACACGATTCCACAGTCCCTGCTGTTGACGATCAGCTTCGGAGTTCCGTTTCTTGTGGTAAGTATAGGCCTGTCTCTCTGTGTTCAAATAAAAACACAACATGTGCGTGCGTGTGTGCGTGCGGTGACATAATCAGTTCTCGTTATGCCTAGTGGCACATGAGGCTTCATAGAGGATTTTCCATGCTTTCCTGTCCTGTGCAATCTTCAGTGCAGTTTCCCTGTTGCACTCAGGTCACTTTCCATCGTTCGTCTCCATGTTGTTTTTTGGCGCCCCTGTTTTCTCTTTCCCTCTAGTGTCCATGTGAGCGCTGTTTTGGCGGGTACATCAGGGTTCATTCTCATAACGTGGCCAAGCCATTTCCATCTTCTCTTGGTTATCATACTGTCTAAAGTTTCTTGGTTTGTTATTTAAAGTAGTTTAGTGTTTGAGATTGTATCTGGCCAGAAAATTTTGATAATTCTTTGTAGACATGTGTGGTGGAAGGTGGACAGCTTGTGTGCAACCTTTTTGGTCATTCTCCAGCATTCCGCTCCATAAAAAAGAACTGACAAAATGATGCTCTTGTAGAGTCTGCAGTAACTGGTGGACTTCCAGATTTGCCTCATCCTTCCAAAAGCAGCTCTAGCTTTGTTCAGACGTGACTGTATATCCTCTTCGGTCCCTCCCGGCAGGGACACCACACTACCAAGATATGTGAAATGTTCTACATTTTCAAGAGTTTGGTTATTTATGGTCACTGGTTGTTGGTTTGGACTGCTTGTCATGATCTTAGTTTTCTTTCTATTTATTCTCAGTCCCACCATTTCTGCTGTGCTGTGTAGTCTGTTACTTTCTTCTTGTATATGTTCATGTTTATGTGATAGCAGTGCTATATCATCTGCAAAATCAAGGTCCTCAAGCATGGTGAATGGAGTCCATCGTATGCCTTTCAATGTCTTGTCTACTGTGTTTTTTAGTATCCAATCGATAACAAGGTTGAAGAGGAGAGATGACATAACACATCCCTGTCTTATACCTGTCTTTACTGGGAAAGATTTAATTTTTTATACTGCAGGAAAAGTCTTTATAGAAGAGAGCAGTTATGTTGACTATTTTTTCTGGAATTCTATAATGTCGTAAAATTTTCCATAGACTGTCTCTATGGACGCTGTCAAAAGCTTTCTCAAAATCCACAAAATTTATATATACTTCTCTGCCATTCATTGCATTGTTCTAAAATGTTACGTATGGCGAAGATGTGTTCAGTTGTTCCTCTGCCCTTTCTGAATCCTGCTCGTAGGCATTTGTCTACTCCTGCCGCATTATGATAATTTTACAAAATATTTTGATTGGTACTGAGAGTAGAGTAATTACCCTCCAATTATTGCAGTCTGGTAGGTCTCCTTTTTTGGGGATTTTGACTATTGTTCCGTGACTCCAGTCATCAGGCAACACTTCGTTTTCCCAAATATCCTTGAACAATGGTTCTAGAATGCTGGCAGTTGTGTTGTGATCTACTTTGAGAAGTTCTGCTGGCAGTTCGTCTTTGCCTGGTGCTTTGTTGTTCTTTAAAGTGTGGATAGCTTTAAGGATTTCTTGTTGGCGTGCGATGACACTCCTTACCTAAACAAGTTAGGGTGGTGACAATTCTTATTTGCACATGTGAGTGTGGTGATATTCCTTGCCTGCACATGTGTGTGTGTGGGGACATTCTTCGCTTGCACAAGTGTGTGTCTTCGCCTGCACATGTGTGTGTGTGGTGACATTCTGCGCCTGCACATGTGTGTGTTTGGTGACATTCTGCGCCTGCACATGTGTGTGTGTCGTGACATTCCTTGCCTGCACATGTGTGTGTGGTGACATTCTTAGCCTGCACATGTGTGTGTGTGGTGACATTCCTTGCCTACACATGTGTGTGTGGTGACATTCTTCGCCTGCATATGTGTGTGTGTGGTGACATTCCTTGCCTGCACATGTGTGTGTGTGTGGTGACATTCCTTGCCTGCACATGTGTGTGTGTGGTGACATTCCTTGCCTGCACATGTGTGTGTGTGGTGACATTCCTTGCCTGCACATGTGTGTGTGGTGACATTCCTTGCCTGCACATGTGTGTGTGGGGACATTCTTACTTGCACATGTGTGTGCGGTGACATTCCTTGCCTGCACATGTGTGTGTGGCGATACTCCTTACCTGCACATGTGTGTGTGGTAATACTCCTTAACTGCACATGTGTGTGGCGATACTCCTTACCTGCACATGTTTGTGTGGCGATACTCCTTACTTGCACATGTGTGTGTGCTGATACTCCTTACCTGCACATGTGTGTGTGTGGCCATACTCCTTACCTGCACATGTGTGTGTGGTGATACTCCTTACCTGCACATGTGTGTGTGGTGATACTCCTTACCTGCACATGTGTGTGTGGTGATACTCCTTACCTGCACATGTGTGTGTGGCGATACTCCTTACCTGCACATGTGTGTGTGGTGATACTCCTTACCTGCACACCTGTGTGTGGCGATACTCCTTACCTGCACATGTGTGTGTGGTGATACTCCTTACCTGCACATGTGTGTGTGGCGATACTCCTTACCTGCACATGTGTGTGGCGATACTCCTTACCTGCACATGTGTGTGTGGCGATACTCCTAACCTGCACATGTGTGTGACGATACTCATTACCTGCACATGTGTGTGTGACGATACTCCTTACCTGCACATGTGTGTGTGGCGATACTCCTTACCTGCACATGTGAGTGGTGATACTCCTTACCTGCACATGTGTGTGTGGCGATACTCCTTACCTGCACATGTGTGTGTGGCGATACTCCTTACCTGCACATGTGTGTGTGGCGATACTTCTTACCTGCACATGTGTGTGTGGCGATACTCCTTACCTGCATATGTGTGTGTGGCGATACTCCTTACCTGCACATATGTGTGGGGTGATACTCCTTACCTGCACATGTGTGTGTGGCGATACTTCTTACCTGCACATGTGTGTGTGGCGATACTCCTTACCTGCACATATGTGTGTGGTGATACTCCTTACCTGCACATGTGTGTGTGTGTGGGGCAATACTCCTTACCTGCACATGTGTGTGTGGCGTTACTCCTTACCTGCAGATGTGTGTGTGGCGATACTCCTTACCTGCACATGTGTGTGTGGCGATACTCCTTACCTGCACATGTGTGTGTGGAAATACTTTTTACCTGCACATGTGTGTGTGGCGATACTCCTTACCTGCACATGTGTGTGTGGCAATACTTCTTACCTGCACATGTGTGTGTGGCGATACTCCTTACATGCACATGTGTGTGTGGTGATACTCCTTACCTGCACATGTGTGTGTGACGATACTCCTTACATGCACATGTGTGTGTGGTGATACTCCTTACCTGCACATGTGTGTGTGGTGATACTCCTTACCTGCACATGTGTGTGTGGCGATACTCCTTACCTGCACATGTGTGTGTGGTGATACTCCTTACCTGCACATTTGTGTGGTGATACTCCTTACCTGCACATGTGTGTGTGGCAATACTCCCTACCTGCACAGGACTGCAGACGACACTATGGACTGCTTCAAAAAGTTCCTAGTACAGTTGACCTGTGTTTGAATTAGTATTATTATTTGTATGATTTTTTATATTATTAGTATTATTGAATTGATACAAGACTAGGCAGATGCGGTCAGAGCCCTTTGGGAACAAGTAACGAAGTCAGAAGACAAACTAGATTAGTACAGGCTGGTGAGAATCATGCGCCTGGGTGTGACCAGAGGGTTCGGCCGACACACTACGCTTAAAGGAAAGGCAAGACAAACAGACTACGACCGGCTGCTGAGGATGGGGATGTAACGCATATGGAAATGCCCCTAGTGCTGTGATGTCAATTCTTGACTCAACTCAACTCAACTGAATTAGTATTATACTAGATAACATCAGTATAAACGGATGATAAGAATACCCTGGACAGATAAAACAGAGTAATGGGGATGTCTTGAAAGAAACTGACTCACGAAGAGAACTGATTTCCCACATCAGAAAGGGACCATCTGCATTTTTTGGTCAGGTGATGAGAAGGCGAAAACTGGAGCACATCGTGACAGTAGGAAAGTTGGAGGGAAGCAGAGGCAGAGGGAGACTGAGAGAACAGATGCTAGGCAGTTTGACATCATTGTATGGAAGATCATCTGTGTCAAAGTTGATGGAAAATACGCGAGACAGAAGGTTGTTCATAGTCATGACTGCCATCGCAACACGGCATGGACTTTAAAAAGAAGCCAAACCAAAACAAAACTGCTAATTTCTGACTTTATTATACCACCTTTGCGGTGTAGACAGGAAGGGGGTCTTTGAGCCTGAGTATTTACGGCCGCATGGCTAGTGCTGTCGCCACGACTGTGCAGGTGAGGGTTTTATTTTGTCCCTGACAAAAAAAGGCCCCGGCCTTACCGAGGATACGAATCCGGGTCTCCCGCTTGAGAGCCCAGAGTTCTAACCGTTCGGCCAGCCGCTACGCAGGAAAAGGATGCAATGGTGTTAATGCAGAAAGTTGTCACTCAAAGAGCAACGATTCAGTGATGATGAGAACGTCATTATCGTCAATGAAACAAAGCAGCTGAAAGAGGTGTCAAAGAAGCGGTTCCAATAATGTTTCCAGCAACTGTGAACTTTTGGCAAAAGTGTCTAGAAGGGAACTATTTTAAAAGCAAATGTCGTATAAATAATGCACTACTACTAATTTCTATACAATACGCACTTTCTCTATAACGTCTTTAAGGTGATAAAGGGGTGGCTGTGTCCTGTTGGCTTCCATCCCAGAATAATTAAAATAAAGTACCTTTTCGCGTTGACTCAAACTAACCGTAGAGTGTATATCGGCATTCGGTGTGTGATATGGTTAACATCACGACGGCCGCCTTAACTTCTCAGACCTTATCCCTAACAAGGTTAGGTTGACCTGGGAGCCAATATCATGTTTGTTTTTATATGGTTTGAGTCAGCTTGTTTTTTTTTTTTTTTGGTACTCATAGTTATGCCTGTCTTGCAACTACGTCGATCCATTGTTGTAACATAAAATAAAATTTATTATTTTAACATTTTTTTGGATTTCTCTGTTGGTACATTGATAAACATAAACAGCATCCTGCCTCGGAAGCTGAAATATTTTGGTCATATCAAGCGCCCCGACGGATTGGAAAAAAATTATAGCTGAAGGCATGTTACCAGAAAGGAGGGGCAGGGGCCGACCGACACGAAGATGGGCACATGACATAAGTGACACCTTGAGTATGAAAGTACATGAGGCGGGAGAGCTGGCGAGAGACCGAGTTTCTTTCAGGCAGACCGTGATAAGAGCGACGTTCTGCAAAGGACCTGCTTCATGATGATGATGATGTTGTTACTTCTTCCAGTGACACAAAAAACATTCCTATATTTTACATTGTATTTGATTTGCTTTGTTGTTACAGATTGCGGTGACAGAAAGCATCAGAGCTGCGGTGAACCTTCGGCTGACGATGAAGTTCAGGTCGGAAATGATGAACTTGGCAAAGGCCTACAGCGTGTTCATGTTTGGGATGACCATCAACTGTATCTTCACAGATGCCGTCAAGTTCTCTTCGGGAAGACCTCGACCTCATTTCTTCGACGTGTGTAGGCCTGATTTTACAAAGATCAACTGTACCACAGATACAGGCATGGCAAGGTGAAACATACATGTGTTTTCTGTGTATTTAGTGGTGTTATTTTAACTGTTTCTGCCAGGGCGTTTCTGCCGTAGTGTTTTTGCAGTGGTGTTTCTGCCGTGGTGTTTCTGTCGTGATCTTTCTGCCGTGGTGTTTCTATCATGGTGTTTCTGTCGTGGTATTTGTGCCATGGTGTTTCTGCAATGATCTTTCTGCCGTGGTGTTTCTATCGTCGTGTTTCTGCCGGGGTATTTCTGCCATGGTGTTTCTGCAATGGTCTTTCTGCCGTGGTGTTTCTGTCGTGGTGGTTCTGCAGTGGTGTTTCTGTCGTGATCTTTCTGCCGTGGTGTTTCTGTCGTGGTGTTTCTTTCGTGGTGTTTCTGCCGTGGTGTTTCTGTCGTGATCTTTCTGCCGTGGTCTTTCTGCCGTGGTGTTTCTGTCGTGATCTTTCTGCCGTGGTGTTTCTGTCGTGATCTTTCTGCCGTGGTCTTTCTGTCGTGGTGTTTCTGCCGTGGTGTTTCTGTCGTGGTCTTTCTGCCGTGGTGTTTCTGCCGTGGTGTTTCTGTCGTGATCTTTCTGCCGTGGTGTTTCTGTCGTGGTGTTTCTGTCGTGGTGTTTCTGTCGTGATCTTTCTGCCGTGGTGTTTCTGTCGTGGTGTTTCTGCCGTGGTGTTTCTGTCGTGATCTTTCTGCCGAGGTGTTTCTGCCTTGGTGTTTTTGCCATGCTGTTTCTATCGTGGTGTTTCTGCCATGGTCTTTCTGCAATAGTATTTCTGCCAAGGTGTTTCTGTCTTGATGATACTTTAAACATGTTATCCTTATTGTTATTTAACAAGTGATGTTACTGTTGTTAGTTAAACTTTTGGTGCTTTATTAATATCCTACCCCAAACAGGGGAAATCCCCAGGTCGCATGACAGTCTAATATTTCAGTGGGTGGTAGATAGGCTGCAAGCAGTCGTGGGACCTGGGCTGCACTCTCTCGTGGGACGTAGGTGGGTTTGGGTAGGACCAGTTCTAGATGTTTTGGTGTCGTTAAAAGCATAAGAGAGCCGTGAAACCCAGTCTTACTATCTTCTAAAATGTTGGACTGTCTTGTGACGTCATCTGGGGGTGGAATATTAATAAAGAACAAAACTTTTTGTTATATTTGTTACATTCAACGTTTTGTAATAGCTAATACTTCAAATATTATAGCATAGGTGTTACTTTAAGTGTTTCGTCAGACTTGGTACTTTAGATGTTTCTGTCACGTGTGTTACTTTAAAACTTTTTGTCATAGTTGTTACTTTAAGTGTTGAATGTTGAATTAACAATCGACATCATAGCACTCAGGACATTCACATAAATGCTCCATCCCCATCTTGAGCAGCAAGCGTAGAGTTCCAATTCCAACGACACCAGTAACTGTCTCATTGTACATTCGTCTGGCCTTTCCCTTGATGGTTGAGCATCAGCCAGATCCCCTAGTGACTCCTCGCAACGCCACTTCCCACAGACCGTAATGATCAGTTTGCACCTCCGCACTGTTCACTCGCTCCCAAAGGGCACTCACAACATTTAATTTGTCAAAAATGGAGGTGATTTTGCTTTCGCGGCGTGCTGTTTCAGATGGATCCACTGTTTCCATATACATCCCGTCTTGGTCTCCTGTAGCATGGGGTTAAATAATTTCGAAAGTAAGTGAGAGCACGGCCTACTATAGCTTTTTGTATAAATAAAAAGCTATCGTGGGCTGTGATCAGAGCATCGAATGCGCCGTTTTTTGCTGCACCGATCCGCACAGAAAAATGTATCCGCGTCGGCGTAGTCGTGTTAGTTAGAACAACAATGGCGTATGACTCCGTTCACATCAGGGCGTGTAGACATGTCGGACCCTTCGGGTTGTTTTTGAAAAAGCATATCAACATCATCTCGCTGATGCAGTTCGTGGTCTGCATTTTCTTTTTGCTGCTGATGAAGCTGTTTGAAATTTCATTGCGAGACCTCCTTGAAGAAAACTCCATGTTTTTGAGACTACTTGGAGCCAAGCGTTGGTAAGTTTTCTTTTAGTTTAGTTAACGTTTTACTTTACTTCTAGTGGTTACAAGGGTAATGAATGTTTAATAATACTGTATTTTTTAGTCTAAGTTGCGAATAGTATTTAGTTTAGTATCTAAGGTACCAAAAGTATTCATTCATTATATAGCAGGTCATTTGCAGAACGTCGGTCTTTCCCGGTCAGCCTGAAAGGAACTTGGTCTCTCGCCAGCTCTCCCGCCTCATGTGCTTTTAACTTTTACTTTTATACTCAAGGAGTCACATATCCTGTGCCCATCTTTGTGTTGGTCAGCCCCTGCCACTCCTTCTTGGTACCATGCCTTCTGCTATAATTTTTTCCAATCCGTCGTGACGCTTAATATGACCAAAATATTTTAGCTTCTGAGACAGGATGCTATTTATTAGCCAATCTTCCTTGATGTTCTGATCTTTAAAAATGTAAGTATTTCTCCTTTTCTTTTTGACCAAAATATTCTGAGAATCTTTCTATAGCATTTCAGTTCGAAAGCCCATATTCTCTTTCTTGAGGACTGGGTTTACCAGTACTATTTATTTTAATAACTAAGTAACCAATAAAGATGAATAGTTTAGCAAATGTTTTAGATGAATAGTTTAGCAAATGTTTTAGGTGAATAGTTTAGCAAGTGTTTTACACACTGGCAGATATACACAGGAAGGGATTTGAATACTGATGCACTGAATGGTTCTAAGTGTGGTGAGGGTTTTTTGTCTACCAACTAGCTTAATAACAAAGTTGCAAAATCATTTAGATTAGTAGCCAAGTTACCAGTAGAGTTTAGTTAAGTAACTAAGATATCAATAGTATTCAATTTATAACTAAGTTACCACTGTTTAATTTAATAACTTATGAATAGTTTGATGCGCAATGAATAGGCCTGTCAGCTAACTTAGTAACTAAGTTATCAATATTATTTATTTAGTAGCTAAGCTACTGACATGATTATTGTTTGCTGGAATGTTTTTAAGTTTCAAAGCTGTGTATTGTGTAGAAGCGGCAAAAATAGGGTTTTAAAGACTAACGAGGTAATCAACATACTTTGATCGTGTCATGAGAAGGAGAAAACTTGTGGAGTACATTGTAACGGTAGGAAAGTTGGAGGGGGAAAGAGGGAGACCGAGAGAGAAGACGCTGGACAGTTTGACCTCATGGCATGGAAGATCATCTGTCTCATAATTGGTTGAAAGTACACGAGACAGAAGGTTGGGTAAAGACATGACTACCAGCACCCCACGGCTTGGGCTAAGAAAAATCGGTGTGGTTAACGGTCGCCGTGGCAGTCTGGATAGTGTCACTGGGTAACTAAACGATGGTCTGGATTCGAACATCATCAGTTGCAGGATTCTGTTCTTAACTACCTTAACTTTGAAGTTTACCCAGTCTTATCCATTCATCATCATCAGCTATTTAATTCCGACTAGACGCGCTCCGCGGATCGGAAGGTCGTGAGTTCGCTCCCTGACGGAGCAGGACTTTTCTTCAAAAATGACTTTGGCTCCCAGGTCGACCCAGCCTTGAGTGGGTACCGGATGAAGTCCCGGGAAGTAGAGGCGGCCGGTGTGATGCTGACCTCATCACCCATCTTGTGCCGTTGGTCAATAAAATATAGGTCTAGCCCTATTTGTCCTATACGCTTAAAGGCGTGGAAAAGGGTCCTTTACTTTTTTTACTTATTATTTGCTGTTGCATGTAGTTCACCTTATGCCCTCCTTATCTTTTTAACTTCGCTGTCTACCTCCCTTCTTCGTGGGTTTGTGATCTGCTTGTATTACTGCGCCCCTTACGGATTCAGTGCAGAGCCATTCTAGTTGTCTTATCATTTGGGGTTAGATCATATCAGGTAATCATTTTGTAACTAAAGGCGGTGATAATCGAAACTCCACGGCTATTACGTCAATGTAAAAATGTGTCATAAATTAGTGAGAGCACAGGAACCAGGATTTATTTCATATATGACGTTAGTTGAAAGGAAGGATAGAGGAAGATAACGAGAGAAGATTCTTGACAGTCTTGTTACATGGCACAGAGGTGTGTCGGCACACAAACTGATACATGCTGCAGGAGATCGTGGATTTTGGAGAGGTATGATCGCCCACGCCAGTCGGGAAGTCACCTGATGATGATGATGACGTTAGGTCCAAAGTCGGCGAAGCCTTAAATGGGTGCCAAGTAAAAGCTTGTTGCGTATCTTTAACAGGACGTTGCAGAACCAACCACATTTTTTTTTCAATTTACGTTCAGTGGTTTGTCATTTCTTTGTAAACGGTCAGCTTTCGGTACTACTTTAGAAGCTACCACAAAACAAATCATTCGCAGCTGGGATCGAACCGGCCCCCGGCATTACGAAGCGTGTTCGCAGCGCCTTAGCCGCAAACTCCGACCAAGTAAAGTCGTGGAAATTAGAAGTGGCCGGCGTGATGTTGACCACATCACCCATTTGTCTATATAAAAAAGGGTAAGTCTAGCCTCATATGCCTTATGCGCCACTTGCCTGTAAAGGGACTGTTTATTTTTACGGCATGTGTATGTAGGTCCTTCACTAACAGTACCAGTCGGGTGACCATTTATGCGTCCGATGAAGAAACCAATTCGCTGCTGGAGACTCGGGACATGTGTGGGGATGTCAGCGGCTATGATGCGTTGGTCATCGTCCACACGGCGGTCACGCATTTCCAACACAGGCAGAGGTACCGAGATACCTATGGGAACTTTGACTTCACACGGCCGTATAGACTGAAGGTTGGTTCATCCTACTGGTCTCTGTACATCATGTTTTATATATATATATGTGTGTGTGTGTGTGTCTATTTATATATATGTGTGTGTGTATGTGTGTGTGTATGTATGTGTGTGTGTAATGTGCAAATAAATTATTAAAGTTTAAAGGCAAAATAATAATTTATAGTAAAAGACAATAATAAACGTACTAAATAAGTTTCACATATATTGAACTAGTGTCTATAAAACATGTTGTTTTAATATGCAAATAAATGAAGCAACATAATACGACAAATGTATATTAGTTTCAGGTACTTTATGTAATTTTGCCATTTATTATCATTATTATTATTATTATTATTATCATTATTATTATCATTTGTCTACAAACTGTTTGATAACCGTAATATTGTATATGAGGTTCCATCAACAAGCTGTTCCCTTGTGTGTAGAGGATTCAGAGCATACCTTAATACTGGTTACAGTGTTAGTCCGTTTCGCCCATTTACCCCTCCCTTATTGGTTTCTTTGACATTCTGTCTTAACATATTATATTATTATAGGCCTGGTGTTGGTGTGTTGTGTGTGTGTGTGTGTGTGTGTGTGTGTGCGTGTATGTATAGTAAACGCCGCTTTTCCACTCCTTTAGGCGTATAGGGCATTTAGAACTAACCTATATTTTTTATAGACCAATCGGCACAAGATAGGTGGTGTGGTCAGCACCACGCCGGCCGCCTTTACTTTCCCGGATTGCACCCGGTACCCACTCATGGCTGGGTCGACCTGAGAGTCAAAGTAATTTTTGAAAATAGTCCGTCTATTCCAGGAAGCGAACCCACGACCTTCCGATCCGTCTGGCCGGTACGCCTCGACGGCTGTGTGTGTGTGTGTGTGTGTCCGACTCGTAAGCCAGCATACCGCGATCGAAACCCACTGCAGGCTGCGTGGATTTTTGTCGTGGTATGGGACGTCGCAGGTCGACCCAGCCTAAAATGGGTACCAGGATGGGCTGTCCTGGGAAAGTAAAGACAGCCGGCGTAATGCTGACCACATTACCCACAGAGTGCTGATGGTCTGTAAAAATATGGGGCGCTCTGCCCATATGCCCGATGCGCCGAAAGGCGGGAAAAGGGAACTTTACTTACTTATATATATATATATATATATATATATATATATATATATATATATATATATATATATATATATATATATATATATAGAGAGAGAGAGAGAGAGAGAGAGAGAGAGAGAGAGAGAGAGAGAGAGAGAGGGGGGGGGACGTCTGACAGAAAACCAGCCTCAGAACGTTTTTATGTAGACTATGTGGTGGAGACTACCACTCCTACACAGGACAGTTTCACAGTTATAGCAGACTCTGTTCTCAGGAACCAGCGACACAACTCTATGGATGGACGGTTGCCTACTTATATATATGTGTATATAATCATAAAGTAGTCAAGTTTTTTTCTCTCACTTTTTCGTTCTTCCACCTTTTTGTCTTTCTGCCTTTTCGTCCTTCCAGACAATTGTGTCCAGTTGTGCTATAGGGAGGCAGGCAAGGGAATTCCATTCAATGGCGATGTCAAGTAATACTAGCAAGACTCACTCTCGTTAAGATGAAGAATTGTCCACACAAAGAGCTTGAGATTTCATTGGTGTCAGTCTGTAGTCAGACAGTAGCCTGTCCTTTGCAGAATCTTGCTCCCATAACAACCTTCGGTTAAACTTCTCGATCACAAGCAAGATATCCCGGGTCCGATACACCCATTTGGAGATCATCCGCAACACCCTGCACCCATCTTCTCTTTGGCCTTCCTCTTCCTCTCTTCCCAGGCATATACCCATCCATTATTGTTCTCTCCAAAACTTTCGTGACGTATCAAATGACCCAAATATTTCAGTTTTCTGTATTTTATCGTCTTTAATAGCCAACCTTCTTAAGTATTCAGTTCTTGAAGAATGGATGCATTTTTTTTTTTTTTTTACCCATGATATTCTTAGAACCCGCCTATAACATTTGTATTCAAAGGCATTTATGCGCTGTTCAGCTTGTTTAGTAACTGTCCAAGTATCACAGGCATATGTTGCAATAGGAAAGATGCATGCTCTTAGAAATCTAATTTTTGTAGTTTTGTCTGTCCCACTCCATTATTTATTCCATTGTTTTAGTCTTTGAAGAACAGTTGCTGCTGGTCGTTTCATTTCTTTCATTGTGTCACCATTCTTGGTAATCAATGACCCATTGTTTTCATCACATCTATTAACCATGTTTCTTCTCAGACGTTCTGCTCTTTAGTTGTTGTGCAATCATTTTCTTCTTTGTCCATGTTCTCTTCCTTACTCTCCCCATCCATACAGTGCTACCCAAAGCATCCTCTTCCCTTGGGGGGGGGGGGGGGAACCTCAATACTGGTATCATTTATGGTCAGTAGTCGGGCATTATTAAAATATCCTAATGCTCCTATCCAGATCAGAAGGTCGTGGGTTCAGGGCCTGACAGAGCTGGACTTTTTTTCAGAAATGACTTTGGCTTCCAGTTTGACCTAGCCTTAAATGGGCCCGAAGTGAAGTCCTAAGAAGTAGATGCTGACCACATCACCCACCGAGTGCCGATCGCTCTATAAAATATAGGTATAGTTCTATATGCTGAATACGCCTGAAAGTGTGGAAAAAAGTTCTTCCCTACTTTTTGAATAGTCATATGCTCTTTATTATTCTTGTAGTTTTCTATTAAATAATATAACAAACAAGCTATTAAATTGTATTTAATTATCAAACACTTTTAACAATTCTCATTTCTCAGATTGTGTTTTTTCTTGGGCTGCCATCAGATCCTAGCTTGCAGTCTGAGATTCTGCGAGAGAACACCCAGGATGGAGACACTGTCCAAGGGAACTTCACCGACACCTATCGAAATCTCACCTATAAAGCTGTCATGGCATACAGGTAACAGCTGCTTGCCTTGCTTGCTTACTTCATTCAATAATTAATTGTTTCACTTACTCACTTTTTTAAACCACCATCACTGACACTTTGCTTACTCATTCACTTACTACTGAGTCGCTCATAACTCACTCATCCAATGACTGACTGACTCACTCTGACTCATTCATGCTCTAACTTACACTTTTAGTTACTCACTCCCTCACTCCTCACTCACTCACTCCTCACTCACTCACTAACCCATGCACACACTAACTCAGCCACTCCTTACTCGCACACTCATTCATTAATTTTTTTTTTTATTCAGCCATCATTTACAGTGATAAACACGTTCATGGCTGTTACTATCAACAGATGGGTGTCGCAGAATTGCCGGCGTGTTAAGGTCATTCTGAAAATGGATGATGATGTTATTCTCGATGTACACCGGTTTTTTGAGGTAAGTATCACTTTATGCATTAAGTGGAACTGTAGGTTATATTAGGGCCCCAACTTCAGCCTAGGTGAGGTCTTATAACGACTGCATTAGTAAGTAAGTTTTAGCCCGCTAGGACATCACACAGAGCCATAAACACCTGGTGACACAAAGTGCCACCATACGGATGAGGATCACCCATGGAGAGGTCCTGGAAACCCCATTCAGCCGATATATTATATTCTTTATTTTCTTAGTCACAACTTTCGACTTTTCCTGCATTAAATATTCTCCACAAATTTTACCTACTTTCTAATTAATGTGCAAAATCCGACATTAGGTATCCTTTTTAAAAAAAAATATTTTTTTTCTTATCTGTAAGCCATTTTCAAACTCTTATTCTTTATCTTTCTGCTGATCATATCCTAATCATTTCTATTTTGAACACATCATCCAATGTTGGTACAAATCCATGCAATTGTGGTCAACAATGCGGCTTTTATTATCTGTTTTCTAATATGTGGATACTGCCAATTTTTGTAATGACTGCCTTTTAACTCATTAACACCTTATGTTGTCTTTTACAATAATCAAGACCATATAGTGTCTGTTAAATTAATCAAGACCTTATAGTGTCTGTTTAATATATCCATGCCTTATATTGTCTTTTACATTAAGCAAGACCTTATATTGCTTGCTACATATTAATCAAGACCTTATTCTGCTTGTTACTTTAAACATTTTTGTATACAGCCAGTTACATTTATCAATTGTCTTTTATGTGAATCAAGACCTTACATTATCTGTCAAACCTATCAAGACTTTATATTGCTTGTTACATTTATAAGACCTTAAATGGGTATTTATATTAATCAAGATCTTACATTTACCTGTTAAACTATTTAAGACTGTATATTGCCTGTTGCTTTAATCAAGACTTTACCAAATTGCCTAAGAGTATAAAATAAAAATTTTATTTTATTTATCTTTTAGGAGTTTGTTCTGCCTCCCATATACCAGCAAGAACTGATATTCTGCCACATCTGGACCTTAGCTGAAGTTGAAAGAACTGGGAAATGGGGCATTTCATTACAAGATTACCGGGGTGAATACTATCCCCCATACTGCAGCGGGTTTATCGTTGTGGTCATGCCAGCTATAGTAGAAGATCTGTATGAAACTGCCCGGGACACGCCGTTTCTATGGCTGGATGATGTGTTCATTTATGGTGTGGTCAGGCAGGAGATGCGGGATGTCCAGTTGGTCAACCTAGATGAGGTAGCTTTCAGAGAGGAGCATTACAAGGCCTGTTATAAGCAGTATGGATACAGGTTTGTTCTATGGAGGGGTGTGTGTGGTCAGAGATAACACAGCTGGGAGAGGAGGTGATAGAGCATGTCATGTAAGGTCATCATCGTGTAGCAGGTCCATTGCAGAGCTTCGCTTTCATTATGGTCTGCGTTAAAGAAACTTGGTTTCTCACTTGTTCTCATTCCTCATGTACTTTCAGATTCAAGGAGTTGCTTTTATCCTGTAAGTAAAAAGTAAAGTAAAGATCCCTTTACACGCCCTTAGGCGCATCGGGCATATGGGAAGAGCACCCATATTTTTACAGACCAATCGGCACTCAGTGGGTAATGTGGTCAGCATTACGCCAGCCCTCTTTACTTTCCCAGAACAGCCCATCCTGGTACCCATGTGAGGCTGGGTCGACCTGCGACGTCCCATATCACGATAAAAATCCACGCAGCCCACGTAGGTTTCGATCGCAGTACGTTGGATTACGAGTCAGACTCGCAACGCCTTAGCCATGGACGCCGCGCTTTTATCCTGTGCTATCTTCATATTGGTCAGCCCCTGCCCTTCCTTCCTGGTACCATGCCTTCTCCTAATATTTCAGCTTCCGAGACAAAATGCTATTTATTAACCAGTTTCCTTGATGTTAAAGGTCTGTTAAAATGTAGGTATTTCTTATCTTCTTTGTCCGTGGTATTCTGAGAATTTTCTATAGCACTTCAGCTCAAAAGCTCCTATCTGTCTTGTAAACAAAGGATCCTTTTATACCAGTGGCAAACAGGGCATATAAGCTAGTCTCATATTTGTAATGATGCATGAGGTGGTCAGCATCATGTCACATGCTTTTACTTCCCAAGACTTTACCTCTATCCATTTTAGGCTGAGTTAAACCTTGGAGTCAGGCTAGTTTTGAAAACAAAGTTCATCTCGATGTGGATTTAAATCATAGACTTACAGGCCTGCTGCCAATCTTCTGGCTGCTATGCCACCATGGCTCCCTGTAGTAGTAAGATAAAGTTTAGTTAACTTTCTAACTTTGCAAGAAGTAGAATTTCAATGTTTACCAGTTGATTTCATTTTGATAATCCAACTGACACAATGAGAACTGACTGCCCATATAAGAAGGAAACAATCTACATTCTTTGGGTAAGTTATGATAAAGAGAAAACTGGTGCATCTCAATGGTTGAAAAGTTAAAGGGTAAAAGAGACAGAAGGAGACTGAGAGAGAAGATGCTGGACAGTTTGACATCATGGCTAGGAAAATCATCTGCATCAGAACTTACTTATAAAGTACATGAGACAGAAGGTTGGGGATACTCATGACTACCAACACCACATGGCATGAACTGTTAGAAGAAGAATTAGGAATTGTGTGAAGAATATGTTGTCTTGCAAATGTTAATTCTGTGAAAATGTCTACTTTAGGTGCAAGTATTGGGCGACAGTGCTGCCAGAAGGACAAGAGTTCATTTCCATGCTGCTGAGCCTCCGTGCTGAACGTCTGCGGGTTTGGGGTCCAGAGAAACCAAAGACAGACAATTATACTGCAATGCTGTAAACATCTTTCAGTGCAAAGAAAATATTAAGAACTATTATTGTAGTATTACTATGATGTTAGTTGCCATAATGAGAAAACAGACATTCGTCATCTTCAAGAAAAAAAGGAATACCACAGTGTAACATCCACCATATATTTAAGACAATTTTTAAACAAATAAATTGGTTCAGCTGTCTTGAAACAGGCCTAAGATCTGACACAAGATGCCTTGTAAAGATAGGAGTAACAATTATATTAACAAAAGTAAATTTTGACAAGATATAAAACATACTTGCCAATAAAAAGATAATTTAATTGTCTTTTTCTCTCTGTCAAAACATGTTCCAGTTTTTCTCTTCTAAGTTGTGGCCAGAAAAATGCCTGTCGCTTTCTGATGTTTGTAAAATTTGTCTTCAAGTCTTAGCCTCTTTCAAGATATTACTTGGTTATACTGCCCCAAAGAATTTTACGTTTTCTTCTGCAATAACACAAATCTGAGACGGACAGAATGTGTTGGCTTGTTTACTTAAGTGTCTAGGATTCAAAGCCACAAGTTAAATCTGGTTCTCAATAACAAAAGTAAAACATCAAGAACAAATGCTTTCCTTTCTTTAAATATCTATATTTTTTTCAAACTGTATATATTTACAATACTTCATTTTTTATATTGTATAATATATATATATATATAACATCAGTACTGTAACATTGATTGAAAATAAAAAAATATATTGAACAAGAAAAGTTTTTTTGTTTTTTTAATGACAAAACTGACTGTCCTTTTTTTTTTTTTTTTTTTTTTGTGGTGCTTGTTGTTTACTATTAAAATTTCAATTTCTGTCATGCTGGTGTTTAATTTTTTTTTTTTTTTTTTTTTCTGCAAAAAAAATTTCACCAATATTTTTTTTTAATATGGCTTTCCTTTTTTTTTTTTCAATATCACATCTGGCAACCTTAGGAGTCTTCATTGTGTTCTGTGTCCTGGTTTAAAAAATAAATAGTGATGTCAGGTCTCATTTGTGTTCCTTTCATGTTCATTTTTGCAGGCTTTAAAAATAAAATCATAAATTTATTTGTTTTTCTAAAGATAAAAATGGATCTGTCTGTGAAAATATGTACCAAATTCAAACTTAAAACAATTTTATAGAATAGATGTTCCAATATTATGTTTATTGTTATATGAGCATAACATGCTTTCAAGATAAAACACAACTGCAGTGTGAAAGACAAGTATTCAAGCAGCACTGTTTAACTCTTTTAGTTTTAACGAATGCATAATACATTCATAGGTTCCTACCCAGAGGCCCAAGGAACGCAAAATGCACTGATTGTACAAGTCTCTTTACTATCCCTTGGGACTCTGATACTGAATACTCTGAAAGAGTTAAACAGTGTGTATGTCCGTCAAACTAATCTTCACTTGCCTTGGATTTTGCTTTAATAAATGTATTGTGTCTTCATGATGCAGATGTCTAAATTGTAAGTCTATGGGTTCATTTGAGTTCTTCTCTGTTACTATTTTGTTTTTAAATTATTTTCTAATATCGCTTCCTCTTCATTCCCCTTTTTTCCCCCTTGCAAATAATTTTAGTGTGCCTTTCCACAGCAGAGATGTAATATTTAAGTGTAATACAATCTGTTCTGGCATTTATGACAGTTAGTCTGCTCATTTCTGTTATTTAATGAATGTGTGTGTTTTTTTTTTTGCAATTATTTTATAATTTAAATGTCATGTTTGTGATTGATTTTTTCCAGATTTGTCACTCAGTACGAGTGCACGAACACACTTATAGAACAGAAATGGGTACATGACAGCACTTTGTCATTTCCATCGGGGCATGCCTCTGTATCCGTATACAGCGCTACATTCACAGTTGTGAGTACTATTTCTGCATTACCTGGGAACCAGTTTAATATGTTGGACTATTTCAGGCCATATCATTTATCGTTATAATTCCTATCTCAAAAAATTCCCCTTGGAAGCAACCAGTGTTTGGATCTGAAGCAATTGTAAGGATATTAATATGGGACAAGAGTTAAAACTGAAAGCTCCTATATAATTTATTATAGCGGCTGCCTGTTGCTTGTTGTCCGTATTGACTTCCCAGCACATCGGTCCGACCCATTCATGCTCTGTCCTCTGATGCAGCAGCCAGCTCAGGGTTCCTATGTTCAGTGTACCCAGTATGAGTTGACTGGCATTTCAGTGTCTCTATGTTCAGTGTACCCAGTAGGAGTTGACTGGCATTTCAGTGTCTCTATGCTCAACGTACCCAGTAGGAGTTGACTGCCATTTCTTCTTTCTTTGCCTCACAACCCGTTTCTGCACACTGCACACACATTTAGTACCTATTTCCAACAGTTGGTTTATCATGTCTGACTCCTATGTCTCAGCATTTCTTGAACACGGTACATTCATTATGTCCAACCTGGCCATACCTCTTCCTCTACTAGCCTCTAACAAACTCTCTGTGACGGGAAGCAGTCAGACAAGTAGATTTTCTTTGGACAAACGAAAGAAAATGTGATGTGTTGTTTGGAAGATAAAGTCATACTTCATATTCAAGTTGAAATCAGAATATGCCAAAGTAATGAGATATTCTTCTTTTCCCTTTTTCTTCTACCTCCCCCACCGCTGTCCTATTTCTTCTTCTTCTTCTTCTTCTTCTTTATTTTATTCTTCTTCTTCTTCTTCTTTCTTCTTCTTCTTCTTCTTCTTCTTCTTCTTCTGCTTCTTCTTTTTCTTCTTTATCTTCTTCTTCTTCTTTTTCTTCTTCTTTTTTTTTTTCTTTCTTTTTTCTTTTTTCTTCTTTTTCTGCTACTTCTCCTCCCCCTTCACCTCCTCCTCCTCCTTCTTCTTCTTCTTCTTTTTCTTCTCCTTCGATCTGTCTGTCTGTTATTCTTTCTTTCTTTCAATTTAAAATAACTTCTATTTATGCCATATTTTGCAGATTTTGCCATCTAATTCTGTTTTCTGTATACTTTTAAGTCTTCCTCTAATTATATTACCCTGTCTGTTCACGCAAAAAAAAAGATGTTCACATTATGTCGTTGAAGGTTTTCTCACTATAACCTATCTTGTACTAGCATCTTCTTCTCACCTCATAAATTGCTGTAACTTGTTTCGCTCTGTCCATAAGCTTGACATTTGTGATTCTCTAATACCAGTTTAAGTGTGTTGTATTAGTGTCCTTTCTAGTATAAATGTCATTATTTTTCCTCTGCCCTCTGTACCCAAATGGAGCATAAGCACTTAACCAATTCATGCTGGGTCATCCTATTACATGCAGCTCACCCTATTTCCTTCTCCCTTCTCTATGTTTGTGTGCTTGTACCCACTCTCTAGCTCCCTTCTCTATGTTTGTGTGCTTGTACCCACTCTCTAGCTCCCTTCTCTATGTTTGTGTGCTTGTACCCACTCTCTAGCTCCCTTCTCTATGTTTGTGTGCTTTTACCCACTCTCTAGCTCCCTTCTCTATGTTTGTGTGCTTGTACCCACTCTCTAGCTCCCTTCTCTATGTTTGTGTGCTTGTACCCACTCTCTAGCTCCCTTCTCTATGTTTGTGTGCATGTACCCACTCTCTAGCTCCCTTCTCTATGTTTGTGTGCTTGTACCCACTCTCTAGCTCCCTTCTCTATGTTTGTGTGCTTGTACCCACTCTCTAGCTCCCTTCTCTATGTTTGTGTGCTTGTACCCACTCTCTAGCTCCCTTCTCTATGTTTGTGTGCTTGTACCCACTCTCTAGCTCCCTTCTCTATGTTTGTGTGCTTGTACCCACTCTCTAGCTCCCTTCTCTATGTTTGTGTGCTTGTACCCACTCTCTAGCTTCCTTCTCTATGTTTGTGTGCTTGTACCCACTCTCTAGCTCCCTTCTCTATGTTTGTGTTCTTGTACCCACTCTCTAGCTCCCTTCTCTATGTTTGTGTGCTTGTACCCACTCTCTAGCTCCCTTCTCTATGTTTGTGTGCTTGTACCTTTGTTGCTATAAATGTAATAATACGCAATATTATCTGAAAAAAGTGGTGCAGCAGGGAGTGACCATAGGATCTGGCCGACACTCAGAGGAAATTCAAAATGCACATTCAGTTAAACTGCTACTTGTACCAACAGAATTAGAACCCTGAGCTAGTTGCTGAAGATGGAGAAGGAGCACTTATGGCAATGACCTGAGTGATCTGATGTTAGGTCTTAATTCAGCTAAAATCACTACATGGAACAGAAATTTAAAATAAATGAAAAAGCTAAAATATATAACAAAAATGAAGCTAGAGTTAAATGTAACAGTAGTGAAACAAGAACTAGAATTAAAAGCCACAAATTGCTACAGCAGTAAAGCAACAACTAGAACTAAAAGTACTGTAAAAGCCAAAACATGTTACAACAGTAAAGCAACAACTAGAACTAGAAGTACTATAAAGCCAAAACATGTTACAAAACATGTAAAACAACAACTAGAACTTGAACTAGAAGTACTGTAAAAGCCAAAACATGTTACAGTAGTAAAGCAACAACTAAAACTAGAAGTACTTGTAAAAACCAACAGTTACTACAGTAGTAAAGCAACAACTAGAACTATAAGTACTGTAAAAGGCAAAACATATTACAGTATTAAAGCAACAATGAGAACATCAGCTGCTTCATTCACTAAGACAGTGTCCACTTAACATTACTTGACATTGTTGTGACAGCTCAACCGCTTGTCAGCTGGACTCTGCTTCACAGGTCAGCTTATCTCAACTCCTACACAAACACTAGAAATCCAGGTCTCATAACTCATGAATACACCCAGTTTTGTTTTTTTCCTGATTTTCTTCCCATGTTACATTTCACTTATTCACATGGAATATTGCAGTGTCCGTGGCTTAGGCGTTGCGAGTCCGACTGGTAATTCCAACGTACTGCGCTCGCAACCCACTGCTGGCTGCGTGAATTTTTATCATTTTATAGGGCGCTGCAGGCCAACCCAGCCTAAAAATTGGTACCAGGATGGCTGTCTGGAAAAGTAAAGACAGCCGGCGTAATGCTGACCACATTACCCACCTAGTGTCGATTGGTCTGTACAAATATAGGCACTCTTCCCATTAACATGACTGCATGACATGGGACTAAAGCATGGTGAAGCACATCTATGCTGCCTTCGAGGCCAAGATAGGAGACATTATAACTAACCTCTCATGGCAACAATTAGTAGAAATACCTTAGAGTGGCTGCTGCATCTGAGGACTGGGCACAGGTGAGAATGCCCAGTGTGCAGTGACGTTAATTGGGATAACATAACATTATTCAAATCAACATTCATTGTTTTATAAGAATGAATTGTGTATGAGGCAGTTAATGTCCTGACTGTATGTACGACATGTTAGGGTGAGGTAGAACAGGAGGGCCTTAAGTCTGAGAACTTAGGGCAACAGCTGTTTATATTTTATGTTATGATAGTGAAATTATTATAGAAGGCAGATTGTTTATGCAGGTCAACAAGTTCAAATATTTGGGGATAAGTATAAAATCTGATAGAAGATGTGTTACAGAGATTAAGAACTGGATATGCCAAGTGGGGGTTGCATTTCAAAGAATTGCTAAACTGTTGATGCAGCAGGTCTCTCTCATTGAAGATAAAAAAAAGAGAACTGACCTTGTTATGTCCAGCCAGTGCTGGGATATGGCTGTAAATCTTGAAATGTGAATAACAAAATAAAACAAACCTTGATGTAGTTTCTGAGATGCATGCTGTGGATACCGTGGACAACAAAGTGACTAACAACAAATGCCTAGAAATGGCGAATAAAATTATAAAACTACACACAGCTATAAGAAAGAGGCAATCAGTGTTATTTATTTATATGATGAGAAGAGTGACACTGGAAGGCATAGTAATGACTGGCAAGTTCAACGTTAGAAGAGGCAGGCCAAGAGGGGTAAATGCTTGACAGCCTGAAGCGATGGATGGATGGCATGGAGGAATATCATCAGTGGAATTGATTCAAACGAATGTCCACGAATGGGGAAGAGAAATGTGCGCCTAGGCCACCTGGCATGGCACATAATGATGATGATTATAATAGCTCATTTGCAGATAGATTCGTTTTTTTTTTTTTTTTTTAAGAATCTTCTGCCATTTTTATAGTTATCATTCTGTTTATTTTTCTTTTTCTTGCTTATAAAGACTGAGTATTCTTTTTATTTTTTTAATACTTTAGTTAAATTGTTTTCATATCAATGTGAGTGTGTATTGCCATTCATCAAACTTTCACAGTATTATTTATAACTAATTCATTGGATGGCATCAAATGAACTTATTGTTTACAATCTCCTTAGTTTTATAGTTAATTATAATTTGTTTTTGTTTTTTACATTTATTTTTTAAAGGCATGTCAAACTGTGAGTGCCACCGTGGTGTAGCTGCTAGATGCTTGCCTGCGGATCGGAAGGTCATAGGTTCGGCTCCTAACAGATTGACTTTTTTCAGCAATGACCTTTGGCTCTTAGATCAACCCAGCCTTGACTGGATGCCAGGTATAGATCTGGGAAGTAAAGGCTACTGGCGTGATGTCGAGCACTTCACCCACCGAGTGCTCTTTCATCTTTAAAATATAGGTCTAGCCCTACATGCCTAAAACACCTTATGCATGGAAAGGGTCCTTTACTGACTTCTTGACACTATCAAACTGTCTTGCTAACTGTGTGTGTCTTTATGTTGTCACTCTTCCTTACAAAATTTTGTGTTTGAGTAGTCCATTTTCTGCTGCCTCATGATTTTAGTTTTTACAATCTACTTTCAGCTGTACCTACAAATGAGAATGAATGTTAGATTCTCCTACTTGCTGAAGCCTGCCCTTCAGGCCTGCGCCCTGATACTGGCCCTGTACTGCTGCATCTCTCGTGTCACTGACCACAAGCACTTCTCCACTGATGTCATAGCGGGCAGCATTATTGGTGCCTTTCTGGCCACGGCAGCGGTGAGTATTGTTTTACCCATCAAGTTGCTTTCCTCCGTATGCGTTACTGGACCTGATCAGGGAGGAAAAGTTTCCTCCGTATGCGTTACTGGACCTGATCAGGGAGGAAAAGTTTCCTCCGTATGCGAGACTGGACCTGATCAGGGAGGAAAAGTTTCCTCCGTATGCGAGACTGGACCTGATCAGGGAGGAAAAGTTTCCTCCGTATGCGAGACTGGACCTGATCAGGGAGGAAAAGTTTCCTCCGTATGCGTTACTGGACCTGATCAGGGAGGAAAAGGGGTGTAGGAGGGGGGTGTTGGACCCACTGCTCACCTAGCAAGCATGTCATAAAAGTCAGATAAATACGGTTGTGTCCATCGAAGTGGGACTGCATCTGCCTAAGAGGCAAGGAACCAACAATCTGCGTAAAAACAAGCCAGATCTGTAGAATAAAAATGCACACAAAACTCAATTTCAGTAAGTGGCCGAACAACCAGAACCTTCTGCCGGAGTTTACAGCCGATGAATGCAAAGAAAAAGAAGTTTATGACAACGTCAAATAACATTAACTCTGTCATTGTATAATATTATTAGTTTCTGGTTGTTATATACATTATGAGACCTAAAACCAATCTTTATCTGTCAGCCTTAATCTCTTTCTATCTATCCGTCTGTCAGTCATTTGTCTGTCTGTCCATCTTTCTTTCTGTCCATCTTTCTGTCTGTCTATCTATGTGTCTGCCGCCTGCATGTATATGTCTGCATGTCTGTACGGGGATGTCTGTATGTGTGTGTTTGTGCTTGCGTGTATGTCTGTCGGTGTGTCTCTGTGCATGTGTGCGTCTGTATGTACGTGTGAATGAATGTATATCTGTATGTAAGTGTGGCATGTGTGTATGTATTATGTATGTATGCATGTATGTGGGTATGTTTATGTGTATGTAAGTGAGTGGGCGAGTGCCTGTGGGTGTGTGTGTATGTGAGTGGCGAGTGTGTGTGAGCGCGCGAGTGTGTGCTTGCATTTTTCTACTCATGTTTTTGTGTTTTTTCTTGATATTCATAATATGCATCTTAATACATGAACATAATATGCTTTATTGATATAATACAACTGCTGTGTGAAAGATGAGTGTTTTGAAGATAATACAACTGCTGTGTGAAAGATGAGTGTTTTGAAGGGCCAAATGTATTACAGGCTGATGTGCCCAATCTGTGACCCTTTGCAAATTAAATGTGTTTGTTCAGTCGTTACCTACCAGTTACAATCAGTCCACTTCATTTATGATCAGTAAACCTCAGTTATCATCAGTCAGCTTCATTTATGGTCAGTCATCTTCAATTGTCATCAGTCAGCTTCAGTTATCATCAGTCAGTTTTTAGTTCCCATCAGCCAGCTTCAGTTATCATCTGTCAACTTCAGTTGTCATCAGTCAGCTTCAGTTATCATCAGTCAGTTTTGGTTCCCATCAGTCAGCTTTAGTTATCATCTGTCAACTTCAGTTATTGTCAGTCAGTTTCGGTTATTGTCTGTCGGCTACACTTATTGTCAGTCAGTTTCAGTTATTGTTAGTCAGCTTCAGTTATTGTCAGTCAGCTTCACTTATCATTAGTCAGCTTCACTTGTCATCAGTCATTTGTCATCAGTCATCTGTATCATACTAATGTAAACATACAATTTATTTCCCTCTCTGGTTTCTCTGTTCCAGTTCTACAGAATCACTTCCCAGGTCCTTTGTGACTCAGTCAAGGAACAGTCACCACGACTGCCAAGAGCAGTGTCTGTGGAATCTGAACCCAGGACACCCACACCTTTACTCAGGCCGGAGAGGATAGTCATCGACCACAGCTACAAAAATGGTGGGGCAGTTACTGACAGCAAAGGAGGTTTTTCACATAAAGTTCTATCAATTTGAGAATCCTTGATTGGACTAGACATTTTTAAGGGTGTTGTAACAAGAGGAGTGATTAGGTATTAGAACCTTACCTGTACAGAACTACAGGTTACACCAGGCGGGTGTAAGCATTATGAGTGCCCCATTGGAAGTTGAACAAGGTATATCTTAAATTATCCCCCCCCCCCCTTCCCTTGGTTACTTCATAATTGTAAGAGTACTGTAATATAAGTGTGTTTTACAGTTGAACTGGGTTTCTCGGATTTGTTTCTATTTGATTCTAATCCATAAGGAGTTAATCTGACATACAGCAATCAGGGAGTGAAACAGTGGCCTGCCTATCGACCAGCCAGCAAGGTTTCTAGGACTTTTCTGTTGGTCTGCCATCCAAATTGAGGTTTTGTAATCTCAGGGTGTCACATGTTCATATAGCAGTTTGAGAAGGGGGGGGGGGGGGGGGGGTGATTGATTGATTGTATAGTATAGTGAGTCACTGTATTTCTCAAGCATATAATGACCTTATATTTATAAGATGCACCTTGATTTTTGTACTGGAAATTGTGAAATAAAAAAACAGTATGATTACAGAAAGATCTACTACCATTGTATTAGAACTACGCTGTTTCTAGACCTCATGTTTTTTAAAATAAGTCCTTCTTTCGAGGAGCGGCTGGCCGAATGGTTAGAACACTGGGCTCTCAGGCAGGAAACCCAGGTTCAAATCATCGGTAAGGCTAGGTATTTTTTTTCTTTTTGGGAGCAAAAAAAAAATCCTCATCTGCACAGTCGTGGCAACAGCACTAGGCATGCGGCCGTAAATCCTCAGGTTCAAAGACCTTCCTGCCTACACCGCAAAAATGGTAAAATAAAGACAGTGAATGGTAGCTGTTTTTATTTTTATTTTTATTGGCAGTGCTTCTTATACTTGGGAAAATACAGCCATATGAAAGATAGGCTGGCTGGAGCAGATGAATATTCAGTTTTCTTGAATGAAAGGTAACATAGATATCATTGGGGCTTTTTTGTTCCCTGGAAAAAAAAAAGGTGCTGGTACTCACCATAAAGTGTTGGTAAAGATGCTAGTACTCAACTACAAAATATCTATTATAGCTGTGCTAAAATGTGATGTCTTAACTAAAGGTGTTAGTACCATTGTGTACCATTGCGTGCCACGATGAAAGAAGCACTGGGCATCATCATCATCATTGCTGGAATACGCAGGCGTTCATGTTTCATCATTTTGCATAGTCATCAGCCTCGTGTCAGATTTGTGTTCTTGTACTTTTTCCGATTTCGGGGCTTGGAAATTTTGTCTCGTGACAAAATGAGGTTTTACAATAGTTGGGGGGGGGGGGGGGTCGTCAATCTCCATGCAAGGAGGATCTTTCTTTGCCTGTTCCTTGTCCTTTGACCTGACAGCCTTTGAAGCCTTGCTATGATATGACTGTCATAGATCTGAGGGTAATTGAGGAACTCAAGCAAGGTCTACAACTGGAACAGATCTCAAGAGTTATTGAGAAACTCAAGGTCTGTTTCTACAAAAAGGTGGAGACACTTCCAGCAGATGTGAGAAGCATCAAGGAAATTCATAATCTGTTGAAATCACCAACTTGCATCATGAGCATCGGCCCCAATACTGAGATTCTGGAACAAGTCTAAAGTCCAGAGCTGGCTGAACAACCAGAACTTTCAGCCAGAGTTTCCAGCCAGTGGATGCAAAGAAGGAGAATTCACTATATGTTTCTTTGTGTTTCTAAAGATAATATAATATTCTTCCTGTCTTCTGTCACAAACAGCAGTTATATTAACCCCGTGAATCTTAATTATTCATTGAACACTTCTGTTTCATGATGTCACTGTTCTTAAGTATGTATATTTTTTAAACTCTTTTGCCACTAGAAACACAAAAATGACACTTCGAGTTGGTTTTATTTCCCTGTAAACACTGCTTTCTTAACTTGCTTTGTAGACATGTTTAGGACATGTCTATCTGACAGAATGAACTGTACTTGTGTCTGTGCAAATATTCACCATAACAAGGAAAGACTAAATTTCCTAACAAATCGTAGTATGTAGTAGGGGTTCCCCCTCCCCCCACCCCTTTTTGGGGGGAGGGGGGTATTATTTATAGAAACTCCTACATCAGATTTGTGTCAATCCCACAGGGTCAAGGGTCACGCTATAATTAGTTCACAGGCCCCATTGAAGTAAGGCATTTGATTCTGTGCCACATTCATTTTTATTGATTATTCCCCTTCCTGTAGTATGTGTTTATGTTTTGGAAAATAAATTAATCTTGTATAAGTTTTTCTAAGAATATTTTCTAAAATATCCTTTAAAAAATTGAAAGTAAGGGAGCTTGGCTCTTTTTTTTTTTTATAAGTCACTGGGGTGAAAGGGTTACAGTCAACCTTTTGGAATAGGAGTAAAAGAAACCACTGTTTGGAAGTAAAAGAAAGAAATATAAAATATGAAGAAAGACATAAGGAGCTACTGGAGGTTGGTTAAAACTCTCTTTCATGGGAATTTGAAAGAAGAAGCGAAGAAATAACATTTTCCATAACAAAGTGACACATACTAACAAAAAGATGTCTTAAAGTTTTTTAAAAAAAAAACTATAAAATTGTTTTCTCTAACCACTTTCTGTGTGTTGTTTTCACAATGTAAGTAGTTTGTCATTTCTCATTATCATGTACGGATGTGATGACAGTCATTCATTGACATATGCCATATGTGTAATTATTCATGTACAGTAAAGTATACATACAAATAAATACTGTTGGCTGGTTTGGGAGGGTTATCACTGTGTGATATACATGAAGTATGTGGTGTTCATGCACATATCACTAATTGGTACATAAGAGTATGTGATCTACACTATATATACTACTTTCTTTCTCTTCTTTTTTTCAAATTCTTTTGAACAACCCTTCAGCCAACCTGCACTAGTTCCTTATGTCTTTCATCACCTTTTCTGTTTCTTTCTTTTGCTTTCTATTATAATTTGTATTAGTCTTAAATAATCTTCTTTCTAGGCTTTTTCATTTTCTGTTCCAAACAAGGAATTCTTATACTATTATATTTGAACATTTTCTCAACTTAATGTTGAATAATCAGATTCATTATTAAATTAATGCTTTCACTGTCACATTCTAATACATACTAGTAAACTGTTTTGTGTTGACAAACATACAGTGAAATGGTGTGACATTTCTAGGAAGCAAGGGTTCAGCCACAACTAAATAGGCCTATTGCCACCGTTGGTAGTAATTTTGACACTTCTGTCTTTCGTTTACAAGCTACTAAAAAGTTATTAACATTTTAATATATTTTCCAATGTTTAATAAGGACCAACTTCATTGAAAGCCCAACTGGCCAATCCACTGTTTGAGGGTTGCTATCTGAACAGTCACCTCCTGATACCACTATCAAAACCAGTGCAAGATAGTGTGCTGCCAAACTGCTTACAGCTTGAATTGAACCTGGCACCTTTGCATTACAAAGCGTGTTTGCAATGCCTAAGCCACAGATGCCAACGGAACGCTTACAAACTGTAGGAATATCCATATTCATAGAAGCCAAACATAACTGAAACAAAGGGCCAGCTTTTCCCTGTACGGCTCCTACATGTCAAATATTAGAGTAACTATTAACTCACTACTATTTTCATGCTTCAAGTTTTGTCACTACATTGCCCATGTGAATTTTGCTTTTAGATTGCCCTATGCTTCAAAAAAGCTCAAAAGAACTTCACAGTAAGTAAACAAGTTGGAAAGCTAGAGGGTCTTCACCTTTGTCTAAGCCGAGGCTTCAGCTTTATTGCAATTGAGTTTCGCCATACTTGCTCCCTTCCTGAGCCAGTGACAATCACATTAAATATTTCCGACTCTTGCGTTTGAAAAACAAGTGAACAAATAATGAGTCCTGGCACAATCCAGCCAGAGGGATAGAGACCTAGAGGAATCATCAAAGCAGTCATCTCACAAAGTTAACGTATTACCCACACAAAGAATGTTTTCTGAGTAGAGATAAAAAGATAATTTTAAAATTAATAAAATATAATCTACATTTATCAGGCACATCATGAAAGAGAGAGACAAAAGTAATAAATCGTGACAAAGAAAAGTTAAAGGGGGAGAGTTTCGGAGGGAGACATAGAGAGATGTTAGACAGTCGGGCATTGTAACGTGAGAACACATAACGTTTGAAATGTTTGACAGTACACATGACAGAGGGATGTGTACAGTGATGATTACCTTCACCAACAGTACAAAAGAAGGAGGCAATTTGTGGGTGTTTAAATTATGTTTCTTACCAAGCACTACATCAGGAGAGGTTTATGAAATCCAAACTTTAGAAAAAAAGTTTCTAGGAAAAAAACCAGAAAGTTTATTTATATACCTCAGCCAAGAAAACTTTACACAGATAAATATGTTGAATAATGTAAGGTTTGTAACATAATACCATGCTTTATGAGATACAATTGTATCTGTCATATATTATCATCCTTCATTAATTAAAATTGTGTCTGATATTACTATACTTTAGAAATACATGTATAATGTATAATTACATGGATAATGAAGCTAATTCATTCTAAAATTATATTCGGTAGCCAAAATCTTTATTAGCCAAAAAGTGGTTTTGCGCAGCACATTCCATGGCAGCATTTTCAATATCTTGAACACATCGACATGTTGTGTTAGTATGCGCGTCCAGTAAAACATTTATTAGCAGAATCCAAATTTGTTAGCCAGTGCCGAAAAAAACAACAAAAAGTGTTTTTGTTAGCCCAAATTTTTGTTTGCAGGGTCACTCCTTAGCCAAGGTATCACTACATTCTTCTTCTTCTTTACGTTCACCAGCTGAAACTCTGGGGGAAAGTTCTGGTTGTTCATCCTCTTCAGGACTCTAGTCCTGTTCCAGGAACTGAGTGTCGCATGCACATCCGTTTTACAGGTCTGACTTATTAGCATGCAGACTCTTCGTTCCTTGCCCCTCAAGCAGATGTACTCTGACTT